TGGTTTCTAATCATATCGATACAAAATGCTAAAATATTTTTTATGTATACTAAAATAATAAAAAATAGCATAAAGCTTTGTTATTTACATTTCCTATGTTAATTACTAAATCCATACTGTAGCTGGTGGCACTGGGAAAGTCATTAGTCATCTTGTACGAGGGCGGCACTGAAAATTTCGGGAATCAAGGAAGTGAAACAACATTACTATTTAAAAATGTATTTATTGCTTTTTAAAGTATTCTCCGCGAAATTTGACACATTTTTCCATACACGAAACCAATCATTGAAGCAACCATTGCATTCGGAAGTTTGGGTCTCCAAAATGGCCGTTTTGTAGGCTTCCACAGCTTCTTCAGGTGATGAAAATCTCTGACCACGCAATTTATTCTTTATTTTAGGGAAAGTATAGAAATCATTAGGGCTTAGGTCTTGTTGGCTTTAATTCATTTTCGAACACCCAAACTCGTGACTGGTTTTTTGTTTCGGGTTCGTACGCGTATATCCATGATTCGTCACCTGATACGATGTTGTATACAGCATTTGAGGATCCTGCATGTAATCTCCCGAGAGTTCTGACGCACCAAGTAACGCGAGCCGCTTTTTGCTCTTCGCAGAGCGAATGCGGTATCCATCGGGAAAACAACTTTTTTACACCTAGTTGTTCATGCAAGATTATTTGTATTTGGCTCATGCCAATGTCTAAAGTTGCCTGAATTTCGCGGTATATCACATGTCGATCTTCTTCAATCAGCTTACGCACAGCATCAACGTTTTCTTAGGTGACTGCAGTTTTTGGACGACCTTGACGGGGATCATCACTGAGCTTGACACGTCCACGTTGAAATTCAGGAAACCAGCGATAAATTGTGGTTTTGGATGGGGCTTCATTACCAAATGCAGAAATCATCCGGTCAACACACTGTTTTTGTGTTAAACCACTCCGAAAGTCATAATAAATCATCGCTCTTGAATTTTCTCGAGTCAATTCCATTTTCTCAACGACTAAACAAGTTTGACTAGACCTTGTGATACGACCGAGAATCTTTTTTTAAATAAATAAATGGTATACGATTTTTAAAACCCTGGAGTTTGCAATTAAATAGATTTTAATATGACTGGAACAGTGGAAATATTCCATTCCCGATACTTTTAGTGCAGCCCTCGTATGCATACTCACTTTTAAGTGTGTGACACCACCAAGTGATCTTAGTTTAAAAGATATCGAGTTGAGTCAATATTGTAAGAACAGAGTACAAGTATTAATTGGGCTAAGGTCCATTACAATAATTAAATTTAAATTTAAAGCTAAACTTCAAACAACTAAGTCAATGAATTTCTTATGCTGATTTTGTTAGCAAAAAATAATGTTTTTCAATCAGTTCCGAGGTGGTCTTAAAAAATAAGAAAAATGGCTGTACTTTATTTAAAAAGCAAAATAAAAACTGCCCATAAAACAATAGAGATGAAGAAAAGAAAATTAATTGAACCATAAGACGGTTTTAGCGTCATACATCTCGCGAATGGCAATTAAAGTTAAAATACGTTAGTTGTTAATTTAATTTTAAGATCTTACTTGTCGATAATTACTTTGACACATTGCAGTACAGTCAGCATCAAAAGCTCATGCCAATTTTTTTATACATCTGTCAATTAATTATCGTAAAATGCAAGCAAACTTGGCGGCGCACTGTGGCAGACGAAGCGAAGAAGATCGGCAAGACTTGGAGCGAGATCAAACGCGAAGCTCAAGACCGAACGCGATGGAGGACTGTTGTGGACGCCCTCTGCCCTATCTAGGGGACATAGGACATTAAGTCAAGTCAAGTAAGTCATTGTAAAATGAATCTTGTGTCTTTTGCACATGGTGATATCGTGGAATCTTCAAATCCGCTACATTTGATGCCGACTGTATATTAAATATCCGACAAAGACTGGCATGATATATGGAGGATTTTAATTTAACCGAGTGATAGCATCAAACACGTGTACTGCGGACGTTGAGAAATACAGTAATTAGAATTTTGGTGAAAATAATTTCACGTTGGATATTGGGTGGTTAAGGTGGTGGTATTATTAATAGCCAGTTGAATTTTTATGTCAAGAATACTTTTACAGTAATGAACTGGAAACACTGAACACTGGGGCATCTTATGTAGGAGTGATAAGTGCTATTTTACAAGAGAAATGTCTTCTGTACCTACAATACTGCAATACAACAGTCGCCATAGCACACAATAATTTAATCAAAATAATGCAACAGCTGTGATCGTAAATAAATGCAAAGGGGTATTCCCCATCAACGGAACTAAAAGTAATAGCATAAATAAATATTATACATTAATTAATCAACATAAAGCTTCGATAGGCAAACCTATTCAATAGTAAAAAAATAATGAGCCAAAATACCAAAAAGGTTGGCTCGGAAATGACAGCAATAAAGTGATGTAATAAAATAATTTTTAAGCTTTTTGCCCACATGTGTTTAAGAACACAATGGGCAATTTGGAGGCAAGAAACTCATGAGATTGTATAAATGTGTAATTATTAATAACTGGACATCTCATAATTATACAGAACACGAGCATAGTGATTGTGAAACACCTCTTGAATGGCATTAGCGCGTACGAAATGTGGAATAGGTACTGTTACGAGCGTTTCATTGGTAGCTGCTTGGCATTAAGTTACTCGTCCCGTAGTGTAACTGCGATTATAGTAAATATTAAGCCCCCCTACCAATAAACTGCAGTATTATTTAAATTTCGTATCGTTATTTCTTTTTTGTTGCACTTAATTAATTGGTACTTTTGAGAGTCTACAGTACGAGGGCGGCTCTTGAACGAACGTAACACTACTGACAAGTCAAATAATAAAACAAAAATAGTAGCAAAACTCAAAGGTGACTGACTGACATAATGATCTATCAACGCACAGCCCAAACCACTGGACGGATCGGGCTGAAATTTGGCATGCAGGTAGATGTTATGACGAAGGCATCCGCTAAGAAAGGATTTTACGAAACTCCACCCCTAAGGGGGTAAAATGGGATCCACGCGTACGAAGTAGCGGGCGGCCGCTAGTTATAATATAAGGTTTTAGAGATTATAAATAAAGCTACAGAGCAATACGCAAAATGAGAAACCCTGTTCGTTAGGATATAATTACATCGTAATCTCCCCATGCCAGGAAGGTATGCGGTATGTCATCTTAGGTCAAAATCATCTTATGAGGAAAGATGTACTAAAGGCTGTATAGCGGTGAAAGTTAGTACTGAAATACGCCTATAAATGAATAAGTCATTTATACCCTGATATAAATTGTTCCCACGAAACTACAAAATGAAGTGAGCACTCTATCTATTTGGGATTTCCCCAGCTACAATAATAAAGTAGTATTTTATCAATTGAATCATTTCACCCATTGACATGATCACAAAAGTAAAATAAAGATACGTCAATCACTGACGAATGTATCATCGGCTTTTTATAAAACTCACCCGTCTGTTAACAAACGGTATATTACAATGCGTTGCGATAATTTATAATGAGAATTTAATTTCACAGGTAGGTCGATGATTATTCAATAAATTAAATGCTTATTTTTCGACTCAGTATTCGAATAGGCTAAAGCCATTCACAGATACTATAATATTAAAGGTAAGAAACTCTTTAGTACTGTTAATATTGATAAGGGCGGTGGTTACTTCACATCAGAGGGCTTAGTGTGAGTTTACATAAAACGCGTAAATGTATGAAAATTTTAGTTCTTGAAAGTTTCCGCTAGGGGCGCTGAACAATCCGTCATACATTTAATGTATTTTTTTACGCGCTCATTTGATGTAAAATCTTACTCAGCCCTCAGGTGACAAAATGTATCTCACATAGTTCGCGTTTGGCTTTAACTACATTGAAAATCTTACATACTTAATTATGTACCTGTCTTAAAAAGAAGTTGAAAATAGAATCCACTTTTAGCTGAGCAATTTTTACAGCTTTTGAGTTATAAAACAGATTTCTAAATTAATTTACGACTAAAATGCCTAGACATATAAATTATGTCCATCTTGATTAGGCCTGATCTCTATTGCCTACTTTATTGGCTGATCTAAAATTTAGAATAGCTGATTCACTGATTTAAAAATAATTTGTTCCATTTTGTCTGAATTAAGACCGTTAAGATTTCTTTTTTTGTGATTCCTTGTGCGGCCTACCTTAGGAACCAATATAACTCTTTAATTTGCCATCAATTTGATCTTGAAAAGCAGGTTTCATCAAATCTATAAAGTACAGCAAAGCCGAAAGTCGTAAATCAAATTGTTTTAATAGCGTTTTATACCGAAACACATGTTAAACTATTGTATAATTAATCAAATTATTTAATTTAGCAATAAAACACCACGTTCGTTAATCAAGCCGCGAGTGGCAAGGCGTCTTCTGGGTAAGTCCCATCACAGTTCACATTCACGGTTTTTTAAGACGGACTGTACCGTAACCTACCTCTATGTAGGTATATTTTTATCGACCTTAGACCTGCCTGCGATTGCGGGTTAGAATCCCAGTGCCAGTGTAATGACAATGAGCAGGTAATGCAGAGCCATAGAGATTTTAGTATTTATTAATATGTATCTTTTAGCCTAGGCGCAGATCTTCGATTTTTAGTTGGCCGATAGTTGGGTCGGGCTGTTGATCAGTATGGAGACGTATGAAAGTGCGCACATTACACCGATTTGGTATCGGCTGATTCTTCATACAAATTAGAATCGGGTCCAACTATCGGCCAACTAAAAGTCGGTGGTCTGCGCCTAGGCAAGTATGTTCGTTATCTAACCGCCATATTACAAGCTCATTTGCGACTACGTTATTTTTATCATCAGTATCACAGTTACTTCATCTACATAGCATACTGTCATCAAACGGCGCACTTACAACGCCAATAGCCAATATCTGTTACACGAAGACGAACCTTACCTTATCATTAAGTATATAAAATATGCAATCTTACCTCGATAATCGTTGATGGCCACGACGAGGGTTAGAGTGGACCCCAGAGGGACTATCCCGGAGACTGGTGGAGCCCACGGCCCTTTGCCCGCTTGGATCTCCATCCAACAATCCACGTTGTCACCTATAACAGGAGAACGATGTAAATAGATGGTATTTATTTAATCTAATAACACATATCGGATGGAGGATTAAAAACTTTTCCATATTGGATCACCTTTTCTTCAAACTATAAAATATGGTTAAGTACAAGGAGAGTATTGGAGTAACGTCATGTTTACCTGCGCAATGTCAGCTCATTAAAGTACTAACTGATAGTGTATTAAGGCCTATGTTCCTTCCTATGTTTAAGATAAGGTAGAGAAAACTGGAAAATGTTAAGCATAAGAAAGGACTCATCAGCTGACGGTTATTAAAACGTTTTATCGATAAGTACCTAATTGAGTGCTACATAATAGCAATATTTAATGCAATTCGCGCCAGTTCTAAATAGGCCCTAAGTTTTTTTAAATCACAACTACTAACCTCTGAAATCCAACTGCACCACGTCCAAATCAGCTATCACCATGGGCGGCTTCGAGGCGGTCTTCTCATAGTCGTTGAACCATTCGCAGCGCAGTCTCTTGGCTTCGTCCCACACTTCCAGCAGGTCTTTGTCGTACTGAACTACCACTGTGTTCTCGTAGAACTGCCCGTGGAGGTCTGGAAGATAGGTTTAAGTTAAGATAGTTTCATAGGAATAAAGCGGAATATCTCTGGATGTAATAAATAGGCGACTGAGTTTCTTGCGCTGCTTTTTCTCAGCAATGGCCTATTTATTATCCCGAAGCAGTGGCAGGGTTAAAGGATTACGGGGACGTATAAGCACATTTCAATAGCCTATTTATTTTACAAAATATAAATTACTGTATACGCGTGTGTCTTGATTTATAAGGAGCGGTATTATGCATTAATCTTATGACGTAATTATGTTGAAGTTAATTTTAAGAGGTACCAATAATTTTTCCATCTCACCAATAATTTTATAAATAATGTATTTACTTTTCAATAAGATCTTGATGATCTAAACTAAAGTAACATTTTAAAATCCTTATTATTGTTGGGGCTATACCTAAGCGGATGAACTCACGCAAAAAGTTGAAATCGCCCGAAGAACGCGGATCGAACCAGAAGCCGGAGGCTTGTCACGCAAGCGAAACTGACCCCTAAGAGCTTCTAGCAAACTCCCTTTCAGAACCACTATCCATTAGGACATTAATCTTCCAACTTTGACTGGCGGTTAACACGTCCGGACCCTATCGCGCGAGATATAAAATCGATTTCGGATTGTCGCTGCGTTTAATACGTCACGTTCTATTGGAGGCCTTTAGGGTCGCAAATGCTTTGGTGTGTCGGGAAGGAAATGGTCTCGGTACTGGATTGAGGGTTGGCGTCTCAGAGGCGGGGTGCTGGAGGAATTTGGACCTTGAGCGCTGTGATATGCGGTCTGGCGGGTGGCGGTTCTGAGAAACAATGCTCGCGCGCAACATTCGCAGAAGGAGCGGGACGCATGGCCCCCGTTATACTCCACACTAGCCGTAGTGGGATCAACTAGAAATCGGAATGAGAAAAACTCACTTTGTTAAACTGAGGCCGACACGGTAAAGTTGACGGTTGCGATTTATTACGAAAACGTTACGAATTATCAGTACTGGGAACATAAAAGGCGATAAAGTATAAAAATGAAAGAAGATTGTGCGGACATTTCGCGACGCCTCCAGACTTATGAGTTTGCCTTCAGGCTGCATTTTTGGTAATTCAACTAATAACCTTAAATGATATTGCACCTCCACACGTCCATTATTCATTTACGATCTTATCTTGCGTTTCATACATGGACCGCGTTATTGCTGAAGATCAGGTATTAACGAACACGATACGTGTGAAAGGCGAGTAAATCAATTTCCAATCTGATAATATTTATATTGTTAGTCATCGTCAGTTTTCAGAAAATATCAAAAGCACTTCGTCACAGCTCAATAATCTCAGATGTAGAAACGTTTTCACTGAAAATCCTCAGATTATTTTATTATCTGTCTAGATAGTTACTCCCTAGGGCAGGTCTGTTGTCCGACATTCCTTATCCGCGTGCCCCACCTGGCTCTTATAATATTAACAGCTCGTAAATATCTTTCGACATAACAATGAACAGCGTAAATACTAATTAAGAGACATCTTGGCACAAGCCGAAGTAAAATAAAACGAACAGAAAACTCTACACTGTTGCACTTTAATGAAAGTGACCTCCCTACCAAAAAGTTATATGTAAATCAGATGATCCTTACATTGTACCATACAAAGTAGCTCGCCGAACATAATTTATTCCCGAGATAATAAATTACGGCAACTGGTTTTCGATAAGACGACAAAAGATCCCCGAAACTCTCAACGTAAGAAGATCATTAATGTGTTTCTGGCGATTGTATTTCCATCACATGCTTTCATGCATGCACTAGAGAATCATACTTTATCATAGGGATAGTAGATAGAATGCTTAGTCCAGCTTAATACCTACGTCTTACTTCCATTCATTTGTCATATACACACGCACCTTTAACTACTCTGCGAGACATTTAACTTCAGGTTTGTGGACATTTTAAAGGAATAACGCACATATAATTTTGAGATCAAGATTAATGGTAGGAATTTAAAATACATAGGTAAGTGAAAGAACACAGGTAAAGGTGAAGGTCATCCAGCTCACATCAAAGTAAGCAAAGTAAATGTAAAACTGAGTAATGTTAAATTTATCACACATCCTCTAAAGACTGTCGATATAGCAGGACCTGATATAAGCATCAGAGGTGATGACATCCAAACAGTTGTTGTAATGCAACATTTTATTTAGGTGGGGCTGCTTAAGGATTTGCCACACTGAATGCATTCTGCTGGCAGTGGTCAAGTCAAAGTGAACGCAGCCCGCATAACGTATGAAAAACATTTTTGGTCAGGGTACGGTCTGCGTGCAGCGGTCCGGGCAATACAATCTATCAGTGGTGTGGTTTGCGTTCTTTCCAACGCACGGTCAAATCTCATCAATTCAAAATGTATCATCATCATCATCATCATCTCAGCCATAGGACGTCCACTGCTGAACACAGGCCTCCCCCAATGCTTTCCATGTTGTTCGGTTGGTAGCGGCCTGCGTCCAGCGCCTTCAAAATGTATAGAGACTGACAATGTTGTTTATACATGATGCAGGCCGCGTTCACTTTGACCTGATCGTATATCTTTTTAACGTGCCGCAGATGAAAATAGAGGTAAACAACGGCTATCTACGCATGCCACGCGCATCTGACTTCCTTCGCGCGTGCGCAATTATCTTAACTGTTCAGTTTATGTTTCCAAGTTCCGGGTAACTATGCGTTTGCAAAAAGGTCGTGTTAATTGAATTAACTTTTTTCGTATAACTGAGATGCCACGTCATTAAGTTTCTCTGTGCGAGTTAGTTCGTCGGTACTGTTTTAATTGTAAGTCTACTTTTTGCTGACCTACCCCGTTACGTAGTGTTTTGTCCAGTTTCAAACAGTTATCTACGACACAAATACAAATACAAAGTCATAACCCTGACCTAACCTACATTCATCCAGTATTGTAGCCATGCCATAACTTTTATAACTCTTAGGTCTACCTATCTGTATAATGTGTAACTCTCACCAGCCAGCTAATGGTTTCGCTCCAAATTTTACAACTCAGGTACGAGTATGTGTTCCTTTTTATAGTTATTGTTTTGACATTTATCCCCGCAACATTATCAACCATGTTAACTGCCTCTTGCTCGTAATTTACGCCCGCAAGTAGCCGTTTCCTGAAGAGCCCAAAATAACAAGCGCCACTTTAACGATTTTCGACAATGTTATAAATGTCTTAATCATTCTTAATTATAGCATCTACGAATTTTATTATTCTCCATAAACGTCAGCGGTGTACAGATTTATAAAATGACAGAAATCATAATCCGTATATAGCTACGAGAATTGTTTTTGAATGTCAAGGCGATGATTTTAGCATATTTAAAAGCATTTATGATATGAAGAAAGCTGCTAAGATGAATCGTTAAAAGGTAGGATTATACATTCGAATGGTGACAATAAAATATTTTCGGGTATCATCAGTAGGCTGAGTAGGTTATCAGGTCGATAAAAGCCGATGATTTACATGTTATTATCCTTATTCACATGATATTGTGGTCCGAAGGCGCGGAAACCTGAAGAGGTCGAGAGGTGAAGGCTATAAAATATTTGATATAGAAAAGACATAACGACATTTATGCATAACGGTTGACGATTTTAATGACCAGCGCCTTTTGAAAGATATCAGTAGCATACGGTGATTTATGTACTAAAGCACGCCTTTCTTTATGAATGACCATCCAAATACTCTATAATGAAAAGTACATACTACAGTAATTCAAGAATTGTAAAGATTTACGTGTATTTCTTAGAGATAATGTTACATAAATATAAAAAAGTCATTACCATCTATTGAGGTGATATTGTAAATAAATAATTAAGTGAGACGCGACATTTATTATGTAGTACGGCAACACAGCCGAAGCGTCAAGCTGTAAATACTTATGTAATTACATAATAAATGTCACGTTAGTCTTGTTGCTCTTAGTTTTAAAACAATCAACGATATCATTAATCCTCCAATGAAGTAGAGTTTGTTTTTTATTTTTTTATTAATTTATGCTTTGTATAATAAACAAAAGCAACGGGAATTGTAATTGACGCTAAGCGAAACTAAAATAGTATGTAAAATATCCATAGCGGAGAGGAACGCTTGAAACAGTGGTTTCCAAACCTAATAAATTACTGAAATCAGCCCCCAATGGGTGCTAAGGAAAATCGAGAAAGATTATTTCAAAATAACCTCGGTCAACTGCGGGATTTATTTATTAACTGTTGCCTGTAGGTTGTATTTTTGATATCAAACTAAAAAGTTTAGGAGCCTTTGCTTGCATAAAGTATTAATACAGCTTTGTGTGAGACATTGAGCTAATGATGCTTGTTCACATGCATCAGTTGCCTGCGGTTGTGTTTTTCATTTCAATAAGTTTGGGAACGTATGCATAAAGTATCATTATTCAACCGTCAAGTGTGAGATGGATTGATTGGTAAGCTAACGATCCCTGTTCACATCAGTTACCTGGGGTCGTATATTTAGCCGTATATTAATTTCAAGCCAAAAAGTTTGGGAGCCTGTGCATAAGGTAACATTATACAACCGTCTAGTGCGAGATGGATTTATTGTGAGCTAATGATCCCTGTTCGCATCAGTTACCGGCGGGATGTATTTATTGATTTCACACCGTTTGCCGCGGTCCATTTACGCAAATTCATTCGTCACGTGTCTGTTAGTGTTTGCTAACGTACAGACCGGAATTACCGTTTTGGACTCGGTTAGTAATTTATATGTTCCCAGCTACGGGTCTAGATGGAATTATTTGTTGTCAATTGAAACGGCATTTATATAACGAGGTATGTTTATAAGTTTGATTAATTTAATATGTATAGTGGGACTGATATGTCCAGTCTCTTGCGTCCGTAATAGAAAACATCGTATTTCAATTTTCAATCAGTGATAATTGGGATTCGATGTATTACGTTTTATTGCAATATTGACGGCGTATATTAGCCGTAGGATATTGGATTATCCATATAATTCAAGAAGCCACCGGCATTAGGTCCACTTATCATATTATTATGATTATGGCGACATCGGCAATCTAACTGAAGCAATCAGGTAGGTATTTTATATTTTATTCTACTGATATTCTAAACATCAACATAACTTAACTCAGCGATCAGGGGATTGATTGTTTAACTCAATATTACAGCACAATTTCTTCGATATTAGGAAATATCCCCGGGATTTATCTTTCGCTAATTGTTTCATTCGTTCGTTTCAACCAAATGTCCACAGCTGGACAAGGGCCTTCAAAAGTTGTTAGAGGTTGCAGGCTGAAGCATTGCAAACAAAACTTGGAAATTATCTAAATAAGACAATTTAAACTCTACCAGAAACTGTCAATAGGAATGACACAACCGAAATACGCTTTACCTGAAAAATTTTACTAATAAAGAGTATCCTCTTATTGTATTGTTTTACTTCAGCCATTATGCTACTCTGCCGTTCATCAGGGGGGGGGAGTTGCCAGTACTCGCCACGCTTGGCAGGCGGGTTGGCGAGCGCAGTTTTTTATAAGGTTTCGCACCTAGACGCTGCTGCCCATCTCGTGCTACAGGATTTAGTCGCCTCTTACGACACGCCTCCTGTTGGCGGTAGGGAATGGTATTCTTGACCTGATAAAGGTAGCGGGAAGGCGCTGGATGCAGGCCGCTACCAACCGTGCGATGTGGAAGTCATTGGGGGAGGCCTATGTTCAGCAGTGGACGTCCTGTGGCTGAAATGATGATGATGATATGCTACTCAATAGAAAGTTGAATGAACTTTTAACATAAGACAATAATAGTATATACGCAAAAATCACAAGTTTACCCACTTTCGAAAGAAATTCCAAATTCCAAGCATGCTACGTCTTTTGGCCACCAGATTTAGAGCCTTGTTAATCTAGATGAGTCATCCATCACTTTCTTTCGACATCACTGAATCAACTATAGCTAGTTATATTAAACCAAGAACGGATTAAGTTTATTTTATTTAGACATTATAGGACTAAGTATAATTTGCAACTGACTTGTGTGGAAATGAAAACAAATGAAAACTTCATAAGTGTGCGACTGAAATGATGGAGACTCTTAATCAAAGAAATGTTTACAATCTTCTACTATGAGGGATCGATTAAGAAGGAAAAATGCGAACGCTACTTAAGTGATCGATTCGGCTCAATCGCCAGGTACAAGAATCGAATATCTGTCAATTCGTGAACGAGATATAGCCCTGCTAAATACCTAAATGTAATGTAAGTATGTCAATAATATTGTTTAGATTCCTTTATCCTGACAGAAAACATATTAACAACACGTTTAATAACAAAATTGTCTTAAAATTATCGATACACCTTTCAAATTAGCTTCTAATCATCAGCAAATTAGCAGTACCTTCAAGTAATTGCCATCAACAAGGCAATTATTGTGCAATTTCCTTCTACGCCGCGATATCGTTTGCCACGATGAATCGAATGTAGCGCTAAATAGTCGAGCTAATACCGGATATTCTTATCTTTACGATGATTCCGTGGCTTCCTGACAACTACTGCCTTCGGTTAGGCTTTAATGTTTATACGAATCAATTTGACAACCTTTAACAACTTTAATAATGGGTAACAAATTGATATAGAAAGATTTAGTGGCTGTGGAAAAAGCCATCGATGCTTAATTTATTAAAGATACTAGCTTTCCGCCCGCGGCTTCGCCCGCGTGAAATTTTGTCTGTCACAGAAAAACTTTATCGCGCGCGTCCCTGTTTCAAAAACCGGGATAAAAACTATCCTTTGTTCTTTCCCGGGACTCAAACTATCTCTATGCCAAATTTCATCAAAATCGGTTGCGAGGTTTAAGCGGGAAAGCGTAACAGACAGACAGACAGACAGACAGAGTTACTTTCGCATTTATAATATTAGTTGGGATAGTCACTTTGTTTGACGTAAGTTAAGTTAAATACAGCTTGTTTATTGAAGTAAGTGTTTTGGTGCATTTTGGATTTAATTAACTTAAAGTTACGTTAGTCTAAATGAACATGAAATAAAATGTTTGTTGGGGTATAAGGCATTATCAGTACTATCTATCTCTAGCTCAGCTCTACGATTCAGAAAAGCTTACTAGACTGTATTAGGTTACCCGGGGGTTATGTTGAAGCCTTTCAGTTACAGGTCCTATCATTACGTTTATATGTTTCAAAGAGTGTTTTAATATAGATCGGAAGATCTGATCTAATATGAATGCAGGTCTTTTTTAAGATGCCCCCACTTCAGCATCTTCATCTCCATCATGTGGTACTTTATGTGGTATGGATCCTTTTCATAGGACATCATCATCATCATTTCAGCCATAGGACGTCCACTGCTGAGGCTGGTTTTAGTGTCACGCGGTCCGCCCGGTGCAGATCCGCTCCGCACGGCCATCTGTATGAACGTCTACGGAGCGTTTTAGAGTTATGCGGTCCGGAGGATCCGCTCCGCTCCCTAGCAGTTCATACAAATCGGCTGTGCGGAGCGATCCGCACTAACAGTCCGCGTGACACTAAAACCAGCCTGAACATAGGCCTCCCCAATGTTTTCCATAATGAAAGCATTCCGGTTGGTAGCAGCCTGGATCATTTGTATCTAAGTTATCTAACAACAAACTAAAATTACAATAATAAGTAAATAGACAGTATAAACTTACCAGGCTTGGTCCCGCACTTGGCGTACGCGATCCGAAACGAGAAGTACGTCTGGCCCGTGGAAGGCGGCACGTACACGCACCGCGGGTCGCCGTGCTGACCTGCGCACACGCACAAATGGCAATCAGATGCGGGTCAAGTTATGATGGTTGGATATAAGCTGTCAGTAGTGGTGGGAGACAGATTGGCAAACAATTAAGTGGTAGGTAAATTGAGTGTATTTTTCTCCATTGGAATTAATTATCTTAGAAAAATGCAAATCTATCCTACTTTGTCAAGAGCTTTGCAAGCTATGCTTGCAACTTTGTTGTATGTTTCATATTATCATAGAAATGTAGTATCTAAGATCAATATTTAAGCTTTAGTCTGACACATGGATGCATTTTAGAGACGGAAATTATTATTTCCTTATTAGGAAGGCATCTTGATCGTTACAATTAAAGAAACGAAGAAACGTTTTTTCTTGTGTGTATAATAATAACTTAGCATTTCCACAAATAATGGTCTAAAAATCCATCCTGATTATCGTAACTGTATTACTCAAACATGTGACACTTTAATATTTCGTAGGAAATCAAACAAGGGTCAACATAAGCTAGCTAATTTTTGGGCTCGCAATCAGTTAGGGGTCAACTTATGCTGGTTTATTGTTGAGCTTTGTCAACTTAAGCTGTACAGGCAATTTGATAGGGGTCAAGTTATGCTGTTTAATGGTTAAGCTCCGTGGGACCTCGTGGTGCTTATGATTAACAGCTTGTTAATAAAACTGAATGAATGAACTTTAATCCATATTATATGGTTGATATTATACAGATATTTTAATGACGACGGACGACGGCACATAAAGGTGAATACTGTGGCATCTTATGTTCTTGAGATACCTAGATGCTATTTTGCAATGAAACTGTATAGTTGCATGTGCTTGTGACTGTAAAATTTTGAAAGTGAAATCATTTAAATAAAGTCCATATGAATTATTGCTCTACTAATTCAACAATTTCTAGTTTATTATGTTTATCTATCACATAATAGAAGTTACAGTGCAGTTATGAGTGCATTCTTCCGTTAATGTTGCATAAACTAACCCATTGAATAATTAAAAAGAAAATCATGCAAATAAGTGTTAACTTTACACGTCAATATTTTCTCTCATAGATAGATACATCTCACTCATTTGACTGCAAAATAACACAAATTTCAAGTAAATAAGACTTTACAATGGTTTAGACTTAGAGTGATGCGCCTTAGCTCGTACAGATTTACACGGTCCTTGAGTAAAAACTGTAAAGGTCACATCGTGTAACATCTAAACGGATCCCCGCTATAAAATTTAAAGTACTATAAAACGACCCACTGGTATATTTTTATCCCAATATCGCCGTTACTTTCCAATTATCGTCGTGTCAAATGACAAAACACACCGGTTTGGATTCCTGAGTGTGGAATTCCAAAAAGTACATCACTATGGACCTTAGCTTACTATAATGCTATTGTGGAAACATTTTGTCACGCAGGTGCGAAACATAGAAGCGTGCATGTATGGCTGGAATGTTAATATATTAAAGTATTCGTATGAGATACTAGAGACCGTTGTTATGATGATTTATTGTTTTATTGTATATCTTTGTTTATGCACTTACACAATTTTAGGTAGAGTTAGTCATTGGGAACTTGAGATTGGTGTCATTTTGTTTTATTGCTGTTTCATGTTAATTTGATGGGGAAATGCCATAAACCTTCATGTTAGTGGAAAGGTTTGATTTAAGACTCATAGTTAAAATGACAAATTATAGGTAGATACAATGGGATAAAGGTGCGAGTATTATGATAAAGCTCAGAGCAAGCACAGTCAAGTAGTGTTGCATAACTATCGATAATAAATAATAATAATAATAATAATGTATATGTTACGGTTAATGTGATAAATTGAAAATTATGAATAATCGCCGGTTATTATGAATAATTACCGACAGGCGAGGTAAAAGTGATAAATTAATCACATTTATCAGTGATTATTTAATAATGCAACCTTAACCCTCGCTGTACGAGGTGGGGTGTGACACACCCCAGTCCTTTAAAAATAGCCACAATTTTAAAAATTTGCAAGTGTTGAATTTGAAATTCTCAGTAGCTGGAATTATGACACTGCTGCTTCGATCAGCGTTGCAAAATTAGTCCAGTGGTGACTACCAACTGAGTTACATGCCTTTAAAGTGCGTGTGGGTGTCACACACCCCACCTGGTACGGGACGTTGTTAAAAAGTTTTAAAAAAAATCTAACAGTTTTGGTGTAATTTATATATTTTTAGCTTTGTCAATTGAATAAAATTCAATACAAATATTATTTTTCGTGATTTTTACGGTATCTGAAATTTTCAAGCACTTTTAGTCAAATGAGATGACTTTTAGTGCGAATCTGGAAGTTTAGTACTGAGATCCGAAGATGTATGTGAACATACACTTATGGGCTACAATTTATACTTGGTGATACAATTTATGGGCTACTGAAATGGAATAACATATTTTATAAATAAATAAAATTGTTACGCTCCCATTTTTCGCATTGAGCATACTCATTTTCTTTCATTAGAATTGTGGTAAATTGAAAACCGATGATCAAAACAAATTTATACCCTTCCAGTTTTTAACTAACTTTTAAATTATAAGTCAATACTTGTACTTTGTTAAATAAAAAAGGTTGTCATAATTAAAGGCACCAATTAAAAATTATACGTAGGAAACTGATTCCTAAATTACAAGAACAACGGAAATTGTGTCTTTTTGTTTTTTTATGATAAAAATGTTATAATACATAATTTCAGCTCAGAGCATTTCTTAAACCTAATTAGCATACGTAAATAATCAATATTAAATATTAAATTCCACCTAAAAAAATGTTGAATGAAAATTTTATCACTTTGTATATTGGGGTATGTCATACCCCACCTGGTACGGGACGTAACTTTTAGTCACCTCGTACACGGAGAGTTAACACTAACAAATATCATAATAGAGGACATCGGCTCGTGTACAGCGCCGGTGTACAGCCACACATTTTGATCGTTTTGATATCATTTAATAATATAATTTGGCATAATGACTTTGGACTGTTTCTTGCGTAACATTACTTTGCCATAATGCCCATAACATATTGTTTTGATTAAAGTAAAAAATAGGTTAGGGTGCGGCGGGGGTGGCCCTTGGGCCACCCCTAAGCCGCCTATTTAGTTTTATACACACATAAATGATCTCATATTAATCACTTTTACCAAATCATGAGGTAATTATTCATAATAACCGGCGATTATTCATAATTTTCACATTTATCACATTGACCGTAACATATACTTCGACAACTTTTAAAGGAATTCGATAGCACTATTTATTGGCAGTATCTTATGAGTAATACTTTTTAATAATGGTAACATTAAGTTCAAGTAGCCTGTACATTTTAGAGTCAAAGTTATGTGATTAAATACTTGTTTCATCGACATTGTAGCGACTTTTTATCTCAAAAATGCATCAACCTTCCAGCGACTTTCGTTTGTAGAGTGCTTTAGCTTAACACCTGCACCTTAACAACAAGTTCTTTGCGGCGGTTATCTTAACAGTAACTTTAAAATTCGGGTTATATTACATTAAAACAATGTGTGTTTAACCACAACTGGGTCGCGCAGTATTAACAATCGCACGTACCTATCCGTCATAATTGTGAGTGAAACCCCAACAATTATACACAGTAAGCACATATTAGCAACGCTCTGAATGCGTAGCGCTGCGCGGGCGCAGAAGCTAGCGTTTTCTTTGTAGGCCATTTGGTTTTCACTTAAAATATTGTATTAATATTAATAATTCACAACGAGAGTGAGAGCTTATAATTTAGTTCTAGTTGTGCCGAAAACAGCCAACCCAAAAGCTGGCCGAAATAAAGCCGGCAGAACCTTGTTATTTTGTTAGTGCGCTAATGATATTGATCGTTTCAATAAAATATTTTAAGTATAATACTTTTCATACTGCAGAGGTTTTTGGTCAACTAGAAAAAGAAGCAAGTTTTTTTTTACATTTGATAGAAATTTGTAAAAATATCGTTTGACATTACTAACGAAACTTAGGTTTTTCTTACAAGCTCGATCCTTCATAGGACATAGTATATTAAAGGAGTGAGTTATCAAGGAGAGCCTTATTCGTCAGCCCAACCTTAAATCCTTATTCCACTATCAGTTTGTAAAAACTTACCCTTAGACGAAACGATCCCCTCGAAGGGATGTGAGAACGTTAAGTGTACATCCATGTGGTCCTTCCCGCACATCACTTCTAACGACTGTATGACCGGCATCCCGTCCGGCCGCTCCATCGGCCATAGCTCCCCCGCTCTCGCTCTTGACTGAAACAGAAATTGGGAAATAAGTCTCAATGAATCTAGAGGTAAGGGGAAGAAAAAGTAACAACCACCTTTCAGCCCAGTCCAACACAATAGGGATGATGACTGGGTAATGAAATCCAAATTCTATTTAGTCCGTCAGACAGATAATAATTAGAAAATATTAGACTCATATTTTTTAATTTTTTCCATAATATTACAGTATTATATTGAGTTGAAATGTCGCGTGACGTCACTTTTGAGTAAAAATTCTACTCAAGCGTGACGTATCGCGCCATTTCAACTCGATGTAGCACTGTTACTAATTATGAAAGAAAATAAAAAATATGAGTCTAATATTTTCTAATTGTCTGTCTGACGGAAAAATAATTGAAATTTTGTCATCTAGCCTATTATAACGTAATTTAAAGATACATTTTGGCGGTATTTTAAGGCGTAAGTGATCGGTGAATCCTAGGGGATATTTGATTAAGCAAGAGGCTGACAAAGGTGATTTGAGTTTCTTCCGCCACTTCTTCTCAGCACCGGCACATATTATGTTGTCTTAAAGTGGTGGTAGGGCAAGCTATTTGGGACGTGTATAAGCACCCTGGAAAGGGTACAGAATATAAAACTTTGACTTTGACTTTGGAGGCTAATTGGCCTTATAACGCTGCCACATTAAAAAACTTTAGTGTTCGTTAAAAAATCTATTTGCCCTTTTTTAACGAGCTTCAGAAAAGGGGTATCCCAATTTAACTGCTTGTTAGTGATAACGATTAAACGGTGAATTTGAGACATACGAGTACATACCAAAAAATGCATTTTCATTGCCTCATTATCAAAATCAATAAAAAAGAAGTGTCAATATTTGAGAAAATCACAGCGAAAAAAAAACGTTTAATTCAAAAATCGATTCCGGATCTGACGCAGAACAAACTGGGTCAGTGAGGCTTATAAACAATTATTTATTGTTATGTATTGGTATTGTATTTGTCCGAAACGCTTGATTGACCTCCAATTATTTCGATATGCGTGTAAAAGGCAATTAAGAGTGTACGAATAATGATGGAAATTATTCTTTAAACTGAATCTGGGTTAAGTTTTTTGTTTTATTGAGTGTTTAGATCATGTTGAGAAATATTATATTAGTTATTTAGCAAATATATTACAGGGTTAACGCACTGTGAATATTTATGTTATTATTATTATTAGTGGAAGATTGCCTATTAAGCTAATGTGTAAGTCATTACAAGAGTTAAACTCATGTTTTCAAAATATCGTTAAATTATTATTCAGTCTTATATTAGTTAGTAATAGTCTTTACAAGGGAAATCTAAGTCCTAAGCTAATTCAAATTCTCGAGAAATATGTCTCTAGGGTTGCAATAGCTACCGCACGATGAGATAAAATGTGCAATGTTGGCCCAATAATAATTCAAGTTGTTGTGTCAGCCTTTCAAATAAATAAATGATTTCATCTTAGTCCATAAATCCCAAATGCTACACAATGGACATGGCGCACAATTTTTGTTGAAGATGCTAAAAAATACTACAAAAAATTAGAATGAATACTGTATTTTTACTTTTTTGATATCTTTAAAAATGACTGAAATATTCAAGCTCAAAGTGCGCTCTTCCGCTAGGAGCGATTTTCCGCGCGGATTTTGAAAATGTGACGTAGTAACATGAAAAGCTGCATGTAAGATATTATCTGTGTACAATGGTTAGAATGGTTAGTAGGGGAGCCGAAGCGGGGATTTCGGGACTTACTAAAGAGTGGCAGACTAACATACAAGGAAATACTTTGTACCTGGTTGATTACCTTTAAGTATGAATTTTTGACATAAAACGGCATTAGTTCTAATGCCTCTCACCCAAAAAATACCTCAATTAAGCCCAAATTTGAGACCGCAGCCAAACTTTGAGTGACGAGCCTAGATGGAGGACACATGAAATTGAACTTCTGCTTCTTCATTGATAAAGACTTATCATTTACCATACCTTATCATTTTGTATTCCATTTTCAAGTCACTTTTTTTATCACGCAGGGAAACCCCGAGCATAGCCCGCTCCATCACCCTTTGGGTGACCTTGAGCCTTCTTATGAGGCCCATAGTAAGCGACCACGTTTCAGAACCTTAAACTTTCCTATTTATTTCACGACTAGCTTTTGCCTGCGGCTTCACCTGCGTGAAATTTAGTGTCACAGATCGGCATAAATTATGGCCTATATGTTAATCTGGGTTACAAACAAAACAATAATATTGTACAGTTTCAACAAAATCCGTTGAGTACTTTTTGCGTGAAAGAGTAACAAACCTGAGACACAGGAATCTTCCTAGTTCAGGTATCAACCCACCAACATTCTTACTTTTTGTTTTTCCTGATTGTTTGTTATCATAATATTATCTGTTATGTTGGTGAGAAATAAACATTACTTTATTTTAAACTTCCAGACATCCAAACTTTCGCATTTATAATATTAGTAGGATACAATTATGTAATGTAGAAACAAACGAGACAAAAAAAATGTATACTTCAGCAACGCGAATTTTTTAATACTTCAGCATATTTAGGACACCCGGCAGCGTGTCCTGCCATGATCAAAGAAAAAATAACTCGCAATTTTTAATACTTCAGCATATTTAGGACACCCGGCAGCGTGTCCTGCCATGATCAAAGAAAAAATAACTCGCAATTTAGCAGGTACATTAATTTGACTGTTTCACAACTCTAAATCTATTTAACTTACATTACTAACAAATAACTGGACTATTTACTCGTTATTGAGCACAGAGACACAAACTTGGTTATTTTTCCAGAAAATTTATATTTAAGTGCATAAATGTAAAAATGGCTTCATATTGCACAAAATTGGCAATAGGTGGCATAATAATGGTTACTTTTTTAGCGCCTAGTTTGAAATGTGATTGAACGATGACAACTAACAACAGTTGTCAGTTAGGTAAAATTTTATTTTAGTTGGAAAAAGACAAAAAGTGGTAAATGGGTTAACGTGCGGGGGCTGCAAAATCATGTTGTGACGTCACGCGCGAATATTGGAAATTTTTGAAAATTTTAAAATGTCCGTAAACTTCTCGAGGTTCTATCTTCGGTAATACTGGATGGATTGAGGTGAAATAAAAACTAGTGTAATGTGTGTGATCTAAACTTTAAATTAAGTCATAATTTAACTTAATATTACAACTTATGCGTGTTGTCCATTGTCAGAAAACAACCTCAACCTGCCCCCAGTGATGGCTACACGATTGCCAGCTGATGCTATCAACTGTTCCTTTAAACTTCCTTTGTATTGCTTAACAAATGGTTGGTACAAAATCCTCGAATAACTCGATAATGCAGCGCACTATTTACATAAGATTCACGAATTTTTTAGATGTTGTTCTCTTTTTTCGCAGTGCAAAGGGTTAACTCAAATAATAGTGATCCTTTCGTGCCCAGTTTTGAAGTTTTGTCGACACCCGATATCAAAAGAAAGGGTGTCTGCACATCACTAACGTAACGACAGGTTGCGGTGAGCGGGAACAGTGTAAACATAATAAACTGGTAACGCATAATTTTTGAACGGAACGTTTACACCAAAATTGGATGATTGGCAAAACGCTGCACGCTTGTTTGCACAGAGTAAGTAACGATTCAGAAGATGAATTCTCTGTTTTGCGCGAAAAGACAAATATTTTTAATCGGTCGGTGAAATGAAAATAGTTTTCTTCACTCGTTTTACTGATACTTATGTGACAGTTACAGTGCTCATTCATCGATAAATTAAAACATTCTAAGAGTACAACATCTCGAAGAAAATCTAGCTGCTGCGGAAAATTATTCTCGTGTTGTTTATGTAAATAAAACAATAGGCATATTTATAGCTAGTTTTAGCCCGCGGCTTATCCTGTGTAGCTTTTAAAGCCTATGTTACTACTTACAGGAATAATGGATCTTACTAATGATGACAGAATTTTCTAAGCCGGTTCAGTAGTTCCAAAGATTATTTCCTACAAACAAACTCTCAAACTTTACCTCTTAGATTAAAGATAGATTAGATAGATAGAGTATGCAACGAATATCACTTAAAACTAATAATTTTAGCATGTCATCTCTATAATTGGGTGATCTGTGTCAAGAGCGATTTGATGAGTCGCCAGCGCACGTTCCGGGAACGACGCGGGCGCATTGCGTTCCCACGCGCGAAAGAGGAATGCGCGAAACGAGACAAACATACGCAAAACTGCACAAGCAAGACAGGGACAACAACACCCAGTTTTGTACAATCCCCGTAATTTACATTTTTGTGTGCAAAAACATTTCAGAGGGTCCGCGCCGTACGCCCGATTCGACATCGCATGAATATTTTTTACCGATATCTTTATCAGGCTTTCGTGATTGCTTTTGTAATTTTCAAAGCAAGCATAAATTAATTGTTTTTTTTCTTCGGATATTTTGGGGAAATGCCTGAGATTATTTTGGATTGTTTTGCTACAGCTACATGTAAGTAAATTTTTTGGTCACCCGAACCGAAATTTCAGTCCACCTAACGAATATGTTTGGAACATCACTTTAAACGTATAATTACAATTTAAAGAATCATACATTAACAGATTTAATGTAAAGCTAATCGATTTATCGGAGAACATCGTTCTAAAACTTGATAATCCCAGTAGCAGTGAAAGTGTAGATTTATCATAAATTTCTCCATAGACATGGGAAAATGTATCACAATAATGCTCCATCCACGGCTTCATTTGTTTGAAGCATGCAAACTTAATTAACATCAGAAGTCAATCTATTAGCGCTTCAATTAAGTGCATGGGAATTTTTATGGTATTCACTGGTTAATAAATAACATTTACAATCAATGTTGCTATTATAAAGATGTAAATGAACAAAACGTTGACAGGTCTGAGATTTTTTTAGAATTTGATAGACAATTATCTACGCTTCAAAATTAAGTACCTACTGATATAGTGTCAGAAGTAGTCTATTGCTTGCCGTTTCAAACA